GAAGAAGGAAATGGGAAAGGTGAAAGAGACACACTCTCTCTCTCTCTCTCTCTCTCTCTCTCTCTCTCTCTCGGTCTCCATTCCAGACTGAGTCTCAGAGGGAGATGGACAGACTGAGAGAAGGTGATCTGTCTCAGTGTCATCACAGGTGACCGTGGTAGCATCTCACTTACCCAGCATCGTCAGTGTGGGAGCGTTTCAGGTAGCTGTGGCCTGTAGACCTGGGTTTTGGCTTTGCCCATTTGGGATGGTCGTCTTCCTGAAGTGACCACCCCTTCTTCAGTGGATGGCAGGTACAGAGCCTCACTGCACCTTTTCTTGGTGACCCAGGACGTCCGAAGGAACATGTGTTGCTGCTCTGGGCTGTCACACAGTGATGCCCTTAGGAGGTGCTGAGGTCTGTAGGATTGTTTGCCCCACACCACTAATGTCTTTGGAATTCCGGTGTTTCCTTTTTGTAGTAACTCTCCTTTCTCCTGCTGATACTTGCCCTAACTATGTTGATGTGTCTGCTCTGTGTTCCCTAGCTTCCCTGTCCCCTCATTTTTTGATTTGCTGCTGCCAAAGTTCCTGAGGCAGGCAGTGGACACCTAAGACTGTGAGGAATGTGTGTATAGCATGGGATCTGAGGGGGGTTTCACACACATTCCTCTGCGTGGCCTTGGGGACATATTCTTGGGCTGCTCAAATACTATTACTCCTGGCTCTTCCAGGCAGTTAGGTTGCTGGAAAGTGAGATATTACTGTATTAGATTTTTAAAGAAGGAAAGTCTTTTTTTCCCCCCTCTTTATAGAAAATTGCATAGAGTAAAATGATGAGAAAAAAATCATTCACAAGCTTGTTGCAGGGACAGCTGTAGTGGGTTTTCAAGTGAAAATAAAGTTGAGGATGTAGATTGACCTAGGACCAGGTGCTGGGTGGCTCTGACCTTTTTATCTGCCTGTGATGTTGGGCTTCTCTGTCTCCCTGCCTCATCCAGCTTTACTCCATTTCTCCCATCTGTGAAGGGAAGGTGATGTGATGTTCAGGTCAAGTGCAGCCCCATGACCCATGTGTTTAATTTCCAGGTGATTGAGGCTGACCACAACATGCAGAAAATGTTAGAACTCTTTGAACAAAGCCGGGACCGAATATTAACTCCAGAGAATTGGAAACATGGTCCATAGGATGGGAAAGATCATGCCAGAAAAATGCCTGCTGCTGCCACGTCAGCTATTAGAAGCAATTTGGAAATATCTACTTTCAGGAGGGTTTTTTATCTAGCCAGACTTGTTTTCCTAATGGTCTTTTCTCCCCTGCCAGTGTCTTCCGCTGGGTTACGGGAAATGACAAAGGGACCAATGGATCTGTCCTGCTCTTCGGTGCTCCCAGCCTTGCGTGCCTCCTCTAGCCTCTCCTAGTGGCTTCCCACTGTTGGATCCCTCTCATTAAGGGAAAAGCCATCTGAAACTATGCTGGGATCATGGTCTCTAACCTTTCAGACCACCCAAAAGGGTGAGAGTGCCTTACATCCCAGGGGAGAGGGTTGAAGCTCAGACTGAGGGGCTCCTTAGGGTTGTGCAGCCAGTGACAGTGGAATTGGCAAAATGCAGGCTTTTGGTGGCTCTAGAATGTACTCCTGCCCCAGGTTGCCTCGTCCTCAGAACCCTGCCTTCCCCTGCTGGAGAGCCTCATGTGTGTGGGGAGAGCCAGCAGGACATGGAGCCAGTATCATCATTTTCTCATCATTTGAGCAGTTCTCGGTGACAGTCAGCATTTCTAGACTTTCACAGAATTGTGCAGTTTGGCTTGAGCTCCGCATTCAGTGGTTTCCCAGCGTGAGGCTTCTGTGGCATTTACCACCCTGTCACCAGACGTCCACATCTGTAGGAGAATCACGCATTGGCTCCTGCGTGGTGCTTGGTCTCCTTGGTGATAAAGATCCTTCTTGAGCTGCTGCCAGTTCCATGTGAGGGGAGTGGCTTTTGGCATCTGGCTGCCTAGCTCAGTGCCCAGCTGAGACAAGGGATCACTAGCCCTGGCGTTTTAGGCTCCTCTACTCCCTGGCGGCCTTGTGTGAGGAGCTTCGGCCTTGGAACTACTGAGACTTTGTGGCCTGGCGGAAAAACACGAGTGGCCTTCAATAAGTCTTTTTGAAATGTTTTTTCCATCCAAGGCATCACCTTGGGCCATAGAGCATGAAACCATCTTTATTGGTTCAGAAAATATCTTAGTTTTGCTCAGCTGTGACAGTGCACAATGGCTCAAGCAAGACAAAGCTGCCCCTTGAGTCAAGCAGGAAACAGGAGAAGGGAAGAACATTCTCTTTTGGGGCAGTCTGGACGGAACGTTGGGACCTAGGAGCAGTAGCGCTCCTGATGTTTAGGAGGTGGGTGGAGAAGAGCTTCAAGGAGACTGCAGCAAGCATAGGGAAGAGTCAGGTGTGAGCTCTGGGGAAACGGCCCTCGGCCTCTCCCTAGCAGTGGTTGGTGTTAACAAAGGTTGGAAGGCCTTGTCCCAGCCTCTGTGTGAGTGTGGCACCTGTGCATGCAACATCCTGATGCTACATGGGCGACAGGTGCCCCTGGTGATCCAGTCCTGGGGCGACTCCTAAGAGGGCAAGCCCTGTGGCTCCTGCTCCTTCCCATCTGGACCAATTCTTGGACCGTGTGGGTGGGACGGTCCCCCACCCATCCCCAGCGGGGATGTGTCTCAGCCCAAATGTCAGTGATTGACCAGAAGCCTGAGGGAGGCAAGAGCCTCTCTGACCAGGTACCTTGACAGTGGGGCCATCTTTGGGAGTTTGTAAATGAGTAGGCCAGTATTTTTCCCACAGCTCAATTTGAGTATCTGTTTTGGAGGAAGTGTGATATATATATTTTTTAATCTTGCTCTGTGGTAGCCAGTAAACCTTTCACCCAAAACTTGATGTTAACATTGGAGTGTTTCCTACGTCACTGATTTTAGCTCCCTACAGCATCCTTGTGCCACTAGGATGATGTGTTTTTATTTCTTAAACACCCAGCTTCCTAACATGCAATGTATGGGTCCAAAAGAACCACTGTCTCCCACCCTGGCTTCATGGAGAGATGCTGTGTGCAGCTGCAGTCACTGGGGCTGGTTGCAGAAGTCTCCCAGCCCAGAGATGTCCCATGAAACAGAGGGAGCCCAGCTTGCACCAGGGTTGCTTTCCCTGTGCATGTGGCAGCAGGGGTCATAGAGCAGCTATAAACTGTGGTGAGCCCGGGCACAAAAAGGGTAGATGGCCCATGGTAGGTAGGGGGCCTGGTTCTTAGAGCAGAGGGAGGCACTCCCCAGAGACTTGTGGGAATGGCTGGGAAGAGCCTGGCAGGGGCTGGCATCCCTGAATTGCCATGTTCCAGACCTGTTGGTATCGCCCCATTCTTACCCTGAGGCGTGTTTCTGTGGGGCATGAAGTCAGACACACCTCAGCACACTGCTGCTGCTTTGACTCTTGCTAATTGGAAGAAAAAAAATCTTGAGCAGCATATACACTTTCTTTCAGTTAGCATTTTTAGTGAAATAATTCCAGTTTACACTTAAGCTCTTTAAATTTTACACATAAAATACATGATTAGAACCATTCAGAAATACTTCATGTATCTGCTGATTTAAAAAGAACAAAATACAAGTATATTTCTTTTACATGTAAAACAAAATATGGAGATAGGTGGTCTACTGCTGGTGTGGTGGCTCTTAGACCCCTGGGGTCCCAGGCTCTGTCTGCTTTTCTGTTCCCAGTGTGACTCCCTGCTTAGTGGCTTCCTCCCTTCATGAGCCTCACCATCCCCCAGGCGCTGGAGCTCGTACTTTGGCTAATGTTGGCATCAGGACATACTGTGTCCCATTCACACTTTAACTCAAATATGGATGATGACCTCTACAAGGCACAACTAAGACAGGCTGGAAGGTTCTAACAGGACTTTGCTAGAGGCCTTGGAGGTGGGGGAAAGGCCAGAGGGAAGTTGACACCCACAGGCTGGACCACACCATCTGGCTTCAGCGCTGTGGTGCCCTCTGGGCTCCCCTGCCCCTCCCTTCTGTCCTCACATCACATCACCCTCACCACCTGTTACTGCAGTGTCCTCAGCTCGGCCTACATCCCACGCTGGACCAACCCTGTGAGGGCAGAGACCACCTATCCTGTGCACTCCCAGCTTATTTTTACCTGTTTCTCTTCCTGCCCCCTTTGATTTTGACCTGAGCCCCTCACCTAGATGAGAAGTGCCCCTCTGCCTGGGGAACACATTAGTCAGAGACCCTTCCTGGGACTCCCTCTGTCAGACCTGGGGAAGGACTGAGGTATATACACCTCTGAGTGTTTCCAAAGCCTGTCTGTCCGTGGGTACTGTTGAATATACACTACCTCATTTCCCTAGTGCCCCGAGCCCCCTTCAAATGCTCACATGTCTGTGGAATGAGTAACACTCGGCCCTTTGGCTTATGCACCCTGCAGGGTTACAGTTATTAAAGTAATTGACAAGCTTTTGGAAATGTTGGCCTCCATTGTTGAGACTCTGATACTGATAATGCCTTGCCTGGGGCCTCTGGAGGCTTTGGCAGCGCATTACTCAGCCAAGGCCCCAGGGTCACTGGCACAGGCTTGCTTTGCCAGGTAACTGCAACCCTGCAGCTCCCCTAAGGCTGCAGTGAACCCTGTGTTCCTTTAGTATACGTAAGATGGTGAGCCTGGCAAAAACTGTGATTAAACAGAAGTAAGACAAAGCCAATCTTGCGGAAACCAGAATGGGTATTGGCATTTACTGCTGTCATCTTGAATTCCTGCATTTCTTGGCTTTTTCTTAAGACTTGGGTCCATGGAACACAGGTGTCCTCAGAGATAATAATAGGTGTTTTGAGAAAAGGGTTCTGTAGCCCAGGGAATTTGGGTAACACCCTAAGGATACATTAGCCTGGTTAACCTCAAGAAGTTCTGTGATAAAAACACCCTTTAAATGTCGGTTAAGCCAGGGACTCTCATAAACCAGTGGAAACCCTCATTTGGGAATACCAGTTATCAATCTCAGAAGTGGTCACGTTCCCTGAAAACACACATTGAGAAGCACTGTTTTAGAGGATCAGCAGCCGCTGATGACTTTTGTGCCCTTTGGGATTCTCTTGCTCACGGTTCTCTAACCTAAGAGCATCTGAATCTTCTGGGGGGGGTGGCTGTTAAAACAGATTCTTGAACCTACCCTCAGAGTTTCTAATTCAGCAGGTCTGGGATGGGCCTAAGAATTTGTTTTGTACAACTTCCCAGGTGATGATGAGGCTGTTGGTCTAGGGATCACCCTTTGAGAACCATTTCTTGAGATTTATGCTTTCTAGAATTGGACATCCAGGAGTTCAGAGAAACCTTGGCATGTTGTTGAACTTCTTATGAGTGCTGGTTATCTTATCTGTCAGATGGGAGCATTGCTCACTTGTCAGAGCTGTGAGAATAACCTGGCATTTGGAAGGGTCCCAGACCAGGGTCTGGTATGCAGCAATGCCAGTCCATAAATGTTAGTTCAGCTGGTATGCCCAGGAAACTGGGTCATGGTGCAGCTGGTGGACTTGGTATTGGCGGTGACCACAGTAACTTCCCGTCACGGTGGCATGGATGCACACTCTTACCAGTTAATCTCGACTGACCTTATAGATCATAGGCCTGACTGTGGCTGACCCTCTGGACTCTACCTCTGAAAAGTGCATCATGGCCTTTCTAAGAATAACAGGGCATGGGGCATGCAGTTGGCCTTTCTTTTCTTTTTCAAAATGTTTCCATTTCTTATGGGAACTCTGGATCTGCACCTGGTGGTCTTTCATGAGAGGGAGGGCTGGGAGAGACACAGGATGGGAAAGAACTGATGCCTCTTGTTTTCTAAGGCCCTGGATTTCCTTACACACAAAACTAATGTTCTCTAGTCTCTCATTTCTTGGCAGACCTCCTTCGGCATGGGTCCAGGTGACCTCTCACCTGCCCTTTCCCTAGCACACAGAGCAGATGCATTTGTAGCCAGATCTTGGAGGCTCTAGGCTTATTTTAGGAAGTACCCAGAGAAATGAGCAGTGACCAATTCCTAAGTGTTAAATGTATCTTACCTTGTGGAAGCTGCTTGGCTTTGTGTGTGAGGCTTGGACTTTGGGGTCAGAACATGGGCTGGGATCCCAGTTTCCCTGGTTAGTGGTGGTGAGACCTTGAGCAGGTCCCTTCACTTCTCTGGTCTGTTTCTTCCTCCCCGGGACACTGTGGTTCTGTTTCCTCCTTCACAAGGAGAGAGGCTCACAGACTAGGAAGGGGATAGTTTAATGAATTAGGAACATAGAGAGGGTCTAGAGCAGTGCCTGGCTATTTCCTGCTCCTTCAAACCCCCTCCACCTCGTTGCTGCAGGGCGACCAGACTCCCTCGCACGTTCCTGGAGGGGAACGCTGTTGTCAGTCTGCTCCAAGCCAGGGTGGTAGAGAGCCTGCATTTTCATTTTTAGAGCATTTGAAGAGCATGCATGTTTCTACAGCTGGGTTATGGGGGAAATACTATTTCAGCATCCTTGCCAGCCATTTGCTCACGAGTCCCCAGGTAATATGTAAGTAGGCCTCTATTTCTCTCCATCTCCTGACAACATTTCCCATGCATTAGCCCCAGGCTAGGCTCTGCTGGGTGCCAGGACCACCCTGGTGAGCAGGACAGACATGGACCCTCCATGCAGGAAGCATGAAGTTTAGCTCCTTATAGCTGCCCCACCCTGAAATATCCCTGAGAAAACCCCACACCAAAGCAGGAGGGCGCCAGCAGCCTTAGCACTCCCTTCTCCTGGGATAAAGAATGAACTCCAATACAGCAATACATCCCAGAGAATCAGTGGTTAAAAAAAAAAACTAACAGTAAGATTTCAGTGAGGTAGCAGGATACAAAATTCACATACATAAACAGGTTTTAATAGTGCCCAAATCCTGTTTACAATGGTAACAAGACAAAATACTTCAAAGTAAATTTAACAAGAAATGTATGTGCAAAACTATACAAGAAAAATGTTAAAACACTCCTGAAAGACATGGAATAAGACCTGAACAAATATGAAGACATCCCATTCTTGACTAGGATGACTCAACTTTAAAAAGATATCAGTTCTCTCTAAGTTAAATGACAAATTTAATACAATCCCAGTAGAAACATCACAGCCGGCTTTATGAAGTTAGGCACATTATGCTGAAGTTCATATAGGAAAATAAACATGCAGGAATAACCAGGAAACCCCTGAAAAAGAATAACTACAATGGTCTTACCAGACATTAAAACACTACAAAACCTCTATACTTAAGACAGTATGGTCAACTGGCACATGAATACACAAAGAGACCAGTGGCATAGAATAGAGAGCTCAGAAATAGATCTGAGTACTTGTGGAAACTTACCTGCTGTAAATTAAGTCAAAAGACAGTTGACAAACTGGGAGAAAATACAACATATATCACAGACAAATATCTTTGAAGAGTTCTTCAAAAATGAAGGACAAAGGACCAAAAATTCAATAGAAAAATGAGAAGATGGGAACAGACAATAAAAACGATATCAAAGTAGCTTTTAAACATGAAAAATAAATTCATGGAATAAGAGTAAAGCAAATGCTGTGATCTGAATATTTGTGTCTCCCCCAAGTTTGTATGTTGGAAACCTAATGCCCAAGGCAGTGGTATTGGGAGGAGGGCCTTTGGGAGGTCATTAGGTCATGAGGGTGGGACCCTCATGAATGGGGCCAGTGCTCTTATAAGAGCCCCCGCAGAGCTCCTGAGCCTCTTCTACCAGCGAGGACACAGCGGGAAGTCAGCAGTCTGCAATCTGGAAGAGGAACTTCACCAGAACACAGCCATGCCTGTACCCTGAGCTTGGACTTCCAGCCTCCAGAACTGTGAGAAATAAATTTCTTGTTTATAAGCCAACCAGTATGTGGTGTTTTGTTATAGCAGCCCAGTGGACTAAGACAGCAAATTTTAAGAACACTGAGATAACATCTCTCTTCTACCGGATTGGCAAGAGAAACAAAAACAAAACTCAAAAACAACCACAAAACACCTTCTGTTGGTGGCTGTGGGGAAACAAGAAGCACTCTCATACATTGCCGGTGGGAGTGCAAACTTGTATAACTCTTCTAAAGAGTAATCTGTTAACACCTAACATAACATGTGACTTACATTGTGATCCAGCCATCCCACTTCCAGGATCTAATACATATTTTTTACAATTTAAGAATACATATGCACAAGGTTACTTATTGCAGCATTGTTTGTAATTGAAAAACACTGGGAGCAACCTAAAGACTCATACATAAGAGAATGGTTAAATAAATTATGGTGCCCCCGGACAATGTAGTAGTATGCAGCTGTATAAAGGAACAAGGCAGAGCTTTCTGAACAGAATTCCAGGACTTCCTTTTAAGTGGAAAAAAACCCACAATGTCCAAAGGAGTATCTCTGCGATGCTTCCCTTTACATAGGAAAGAAGAGACGCAAGTAAAGGTGTAGATAGAGCAAAGGAACTATAGGAAGGATAGATTGGTGGGAAAAGGCTTGAAGAAGGGAAGAATGGGATCAGGGCTGCAGGGATGAGAAGGCAGTGACACTTTGGTGAATGTATCTTTCTGTATAAGTGACTCCTAGCACCACAGTAACATTTCACATCACCCCCAAAGTAAACAAGATGAACTAGGATCTAGGGGAGTGGAAAATGGAATATAAACACTTCCAGATGAACCTAACAGTATCACAGTGGACAGCCACACTGCAGGGGTAGGGAAGAAAGGAACTAATCTAGTAACTCTGGAAAACAGTATCTGGACTGGAACAGTCTGTGCAGAGGCTGAGTAGGGGTGGGCTTAGCTTGTTTGAACACCTAGAAGAAGCCACTTGGCTGCAGTGGCCTGGGGGGAAAGGGTCATGAGATGAGGTCAGAAGGATAGTGAGGGGCCAAGCCTGTGGGACCCCCTCGAGGGAAATGAGCACATGGGAGTCATGGTGGACCTTAGGGTTTAACAGGATTCCCTGTCGGCTGGTTGGAGCTGATTAAGGGGGATGAGGGTGGAAGCTGGGGGGCCAGAGAGGGGTCTGGCATCCTCCATGGATCTGAGTGAGAGATCACGGTAGGTAGCTCAGACGAGACGTGGTCAGATTTGGGCTCTTGTGACAGAGCGAGATGGGTTGGATGAGGGTTGGTGGGCTCGGGGCAGAACAGTCAAGGATGATTCCTACATTAGGCGTTAGCTGACAAGTTGGTGGTGGGGTCTTTACCTAGATGGGGAATGCTGGGGTGAGAGCACAAGTTCTGTTTGGGTTTGGGCATCTGCATATTAATGATCAGAAAGAAAATGAATAAAGACGGTCAAAGAAAAATCATTAGCTTGTCTTTTCTGCTCCTGGAACCATGGGTCAAGTTGCCCTCCCAGGCTCCTTTGCTCCAGGTCAGACCCAGGAGTAGGGTCCCAGAGGACAGGCCCTGGGTTCCTGAGCCCATCCCCTTTCCCAACTCACCCCTTCCCCTGAGGACCCTCTGCGTGCATCCAGCCCATCCCGTTCCTGATGTTCCTCCCCAGCATGGAGGCTGTGGTTGGGGTCTGGCCCCTCACTTTCCCCTAGGATCCCAGCCACTGACACTTCATCAGCTTGCATGTCGACTGCTGAGTGATGGGGTTGGGGCAGGGTGGATGGTGGGTGACGGACCAGGGTGCTTCTCTCCCTCTGATGCACTCTGCTTCCTGACTGGCCTTGGAAAGCCCGTGTAGGAGCTGGCTCAGTGAAGGGCTCTCCGACTGGGAGGGAGGTGGGCTGCTGCTCCTTGAATCCTTCCCACCTGTGATCCCCCTTGATCTTAGACTGAAAGTAGTGGGGTCAGAGGCTCAGTTCTGGGGAGAGCAAGGCAGGCCCCATTTATTAAGCACCCGCTGTGTGCCCAGAAAGGGCCTTTACCTACATAACCTTTACTGCTCACCACTACCCTGTGAGGCAGGAGTCATCCTCCCCACTTCACAGATGCAAATTTGACAGGCTGCCCCAGGCAAGCATCATCTGCCACCGCATAGGAAGTGGCTGGGGAAGGATGCTCTGTAGGGACACCAATGAGGAATGCCTAAGGGTACATGTGTGCTGAGTCTGGAAGCACCCACCTGTGTGCAAGTGTGCATGCATCTGTGCATATGTGTGGGCAGAAGATGGCTGGTGGAGGGGATCTCTCTACTCCAGGCACAGTCTTGGCACCTGCAGCCCCAATGGGTGGAGCCCCCAACCCCTGAATAGAGAGCAGGCATGTGAGCTGAGCTGGACCTCCCAAGTGTGGTTTTATTTTCTGCCAACCAGAAGCTAGCTGAGAGAAAATGGGGGCTGGCAGTGGGCCCTAAGCAGACTAGGGGCATATTACATCTGTCTTTTAATCTGCCCTGTGACGGGTACCTTAAGGATGCTGAGAGAAACTGCCACTCAGAGATGTAGGAGGACTCACCCAAGGTCACATACTGAGCAGGGATATGCCCCCCCTGAGGTCAGTATTGAGGGGCACTATGCCTAGTTCACCCTACTAACTCTTCCCAGCCTCCTGTGAAGTACATCTGACCACACCCACTTTATAGATGAGGAGAAGGAGGCTTGGAGAGGTGAGTGTGTAGTCCAGTCACAGTAGGTGGCAGGGCTGGGACTTGAGACCAGCTGGGGTTGATTAATAGAAGCCCCATGCTGTGGTCTCAGACCTGCCACCTCTATCTGATCACATTCCTGGTGGAAGAGCAGCCTGCTTAGGGTGTCTGCTCCTGTACCACCCAGGGGTGACATCCTCAGCTGTTCTCTGGGAGGTGTTCTTGGTGGGAACTGGCTCCCTGGGGAGACATAGTGAATGCTAGGGGGGCTCTTGTACATGAGAGGGGGGCCTGAGTACATCCCCAGAGCTAAGTGACCCTCCTGTTTGGGCTTCTGTCCTCACCGGCAGGCTTTGTCCTCATGAGAGTCTCTGTCCATTCTCTTCAAACCCAGGGTCTAGGAAGCCCTGGGCTGGCCTGCTAGAGTTGGGGGACAGAGGAAGTGGGAGAGGTGCTCACAGAGCTCATCCATCTCGGAGGAAACAGCTGGGGGAGCGGCGTGTGTGCCCGGGGTGGCCAGCTTGGCTGTGCTTCTGGCTTTAGGTCCAGGACTTCTCTGACAATTGGGGGTTGGGCGTCAGGCAGAGCTGGCTGGGGATGGTGACCCCTCTGCTCTTAGGAGCTACATCAGGGACCAGGGCTGCTCACTGCTGCCCCCAAGGGGGAGACCACCTCACCTGAAGGTGGGCTGGAGCCCAGCACTAGACCCTGGAGGTGGTTTCTTTTCAGGCTGCTCAAGGGCAATGTCTTTGGAGAACAGGGCTGCCTGGTGCAGGACAAGGCCACTGTAGCAGGTCAAAAACTCCTCACTGTCCGAGCATGTGCTGGTATGGCACTGGGGATCTGAGGGGACACACGGACCGGTGAGAAGGCTCTGGGGGGTTGTCAAGATCTCAGGCAGGCTCAGGGCCACTGGCAGAGAGCTCCAATGGACAAGGCCCTCAGCCAGAGCCTTCTCCGATCCCACTCCTTCTGAGGGGCCTGCACCTGGCTGGGCCCCCTTGAGACAGCTGTGGGCCTTCACCGGCCTTCTCTCTGAGCCATGCCTGCAGGGGAGCCTGACCAGTTTCTCTCTGCCCAGCCTCAGGACCTGCCTGCCTGAGGTTTCCAGAAGAGCCTCACATGCGACTCTGACTAGGAAGATCTCCAATACCATCTGCTTGGTGTCCCTCCTCGCTGACGGCCTGGACCAGTGAAAACTCAGCCTCGGAGGTGGCCATGCAGCCCAGCCTGCGCAGAATGCCATGCAGTGTGTGTGCAGAAAGTATAGGCCGCACCCAGTAGGCAGAGTTCCCAGTGTACATGTGGAAGAAACGGGTGTTTGTTAGAGGTGGGATATATTGCAGCAGGGTGGCTGAGAGGGGCCAGGCAGGATCAAGGCACCCTGCTGATGCCAGGGGCACTGGAAGCTCCTGAGAAACAGGTGGGCCAGAGAGGTTGGTCAAATGGAAACCTGGCCGGTGATCATGTTACCTCTGTCCCATTTTACAGAAGGGCACACTAAGGCCCAGAGGTAGAACAGGACCTGTCTCAAGTCACAGCAAGAGAATGAATGAGTTGGGGTGAGGCCCTGGTATCCTGGCTCCCAATCCAGGGGCCCTGGCCTGGAGCCAGAAGAGATCAAAGTTTTCCCGTGGCTTTCCAAAGCCAAAGTCCTTCCCTTGTTTATTATGAGCTCCTTAGTTTCTTCTCTTTAAAGAGACAACGTAACCTCATGGTCGAGAGCTGCACTGCCTGAGTTTGAGGCCTGTCTGTGCTGCTTGATAGCTGGTGATCCTAGATTAGCCTCTTTAGCTCTCAGTTTCTCCAACTGTAAAATGGCACCAAAGTCAGTGGGCACGATGGACACACTGCTCTCCCTGGAGGCAGAGCCCTGGCCCCTACCTGGGACCCCCTTGGTCAAGGGCATGACGGTGCTTACCTTTAGGGATCTGATTTCCTTCTTCCAGGGACACAGAAGTAGGTTGACAGAGATGAGCTCCAGGAACTCCAGTGCCCGCACCAGTTTGTGGCAGATGTGCTGAGCAGGGCTGGGCACCCCCAGAGAGTATGTGGCCCCCACATCAGGGGCCACATCCTCAGGGAGACAGAGGTGAGGAGGGCCCTCCATGCCCAAGAGCTGCTGGGCCCTGTGGGTAGGAGCTGCTTGCCCGCAGACCTCGAGCCGGCCCTCCCTGGCTCCCTGCAGGGAGTAGTGGGTCACCCAGCAGCGGCTCAGGAGCGGCCTCAGCAGGGTCTGTGGGTTGGGGCTGGTCCATGGCGGCTCTGAGGGGGGCTGGATGTGGAGGAGTGGCCTGCTGGCCTGCCTGCGTCCCACCCCAAAGCTTATCAGGAAGCCGAGGAGGAAGTTGTGCTCAGAATGGCCCTGCCACTGCTTGCCACTCTGGAGGGCTGAGCTCTGAGGGTGGCTGGGCCTCTGCTCAGCCCCCAGTCCTGTGTCCTCGGGTGGAGCAGAGCCAACGTCAGACAGTCTCCACCCAGTCCCCCAAACAAACAGGAAAGCTAGACCCAGGAGGCTGACATCTTTCCACACCTTTTTCCCACAGAGGAGGGTTGGTGGATAGAAGCCCCAGCTTCCTGCCCTTGGCGGGACAGTTCCAGGGGTGTTGTGCACTGTCCTTCAGAGGGAGCCACGCGGGCTGGGCCCCAGTTGTCCACAGTAATGCACCATTCATTGGCTCTGCTCCCTCTCTTGTCTTAATTCTCTACTCCTTACGGTGCTTCCTGGGATTGCCTCCCAAAAAACCAGTTATACCCAAATCTTTGTACTGTTTCTAGGAGAGCAGACAGGGACCCTGCACACTCTCCCATCTACCCTTCCCTCCATCCACTTGCCGTTTTCCTCCCTCCTTCCTTCCCCTCCTCCCTTCCTTCCTCCTTCCTCCAATTCATTCACCCAGTACTTAATTAAGTAATGATTCATTCAGCCACTCAGTGACTCACTCTTTCCATGGGGGTCGGCATTTCTCAAAGTGTGCTCCCCTAGGAGCATTTGTTGGAGGTTCTTAGACTTACATGTGAGTGAATATTCCCCATGGCCAAATAAATTTGGGAATTACTGGGTTAAGTAAGGTCCCTTGGCTTCTGGGCTTTAGGACTTCTTATGTAGGGGGCTAATTGTAGGGTGTAAATTTCTAGGAGGGGGCAGCATGGCCCTATTTCTCAACCTCTTGGACCCTGGGTCCTTTTTATCGTCCTTGTTTGGTGTTTGGGGAAATGCTGTCTTTGGCAGCAAGCCTGTGTCTCGGTCCTTGCCAGCCTGGGGGCTTCAGAGAAAGATGAGAAAGGTCCCTGCTTGCAGCCTAGAGAGCCCAGCTGAGGGTGTGGTGGTAGAGCAGGACCTTGTAGAAACACAGCCCATTTGCTTTTTATGAGTCTCTGCTGGCCTCCTGTCCCTGTTCTGGATTATTCATTTGAGGTCCAGTATTGGGGGTGTTGCTCTTTAACATACATTAGTTCATCTGATCCCAAACTTCAGGTAGATTAGGTACTAGTCCAGGCGCACATCTAGCCGCCCCTTGGTTTCCCCCTCTGCCTCCTTCTGGGTTGGAGACATAGGTCAGGGCCAGGCTGTCCTGGGAGACTGCTGGTAGGCATTTCACATTGTCACAGCCTGAGGCCCTGCCCGTCAGTGACCAAGTCCCCCTTCCTCCCGTTTTACAAATGAGGACACGGAGGCAGAGAGAACAAAAGCAGGGACTGAAACCCAAGTTTGTTAGTTTCTTACTGTGCTGCAACAAATCACAAATGTAGTGGCTTAAAGCAATACAAATTTATTTATTTTTAATCCTAGAGGTCATAAGTCCAAATCAGTCTCACCAGTTGTTTTTTGGAGGTTCTAGGGGAGAATCCACTTCCTCGATTTTTCCGGCTATGGGAGGCCCCCTGCATTCCTGTCTGTGCTGCCTCCTCCCTCCTCAAAGCCACAGGGTAGCATCTGTCAGTCTCCCATTTCTCTTCATTCTGTTTCAGTTTGTCACACTGCCCCTTACTTTGACACTGTGGCCTCCCTCTCATAAGGACCTGTGGTTACATTGGGTGCCCCTGGATAACCAGGATAATTGCCTCCACTCAGGGTCCTTAATCACCTCTGCACAGTCCCCGTGACCTGGAAGGTAACACACTCACAGGTTCTGGGGGTTAGAACCAGGACAGCTTGGGGGCCCCTTATTCAGCTTATCACACCAACTCTGATACCCAAGACCATGCTTTTTCCATAATACCAAAAATCTGTGAGAGCCCCGAATGGGAGTGGTAGATTTGAGGGTGGGGGATATACAGGGTTCCAGGCCATTGACTTGTCTAGAAGGGGAGGTCATAGGCCAAGGAAGGGGGGTGTCTAAAACAAAAGAGTCTTAATTCTCTTTGTCTCTGTCTCTGTCTCTCTCCTTGGCCCCAGGCAGATTGTCTCCTTGAGGAGAAGGCTGGAGTGACTTTTGATTTTTTCCTATTAATTAGCAAAGTTTAACACATTGGTCCACACATTGTAATTGTCCCATCCCCCTCTCGTGATTCTTCTGCTGCTTTTGGTTACTTACTGATTCAACCACTTCACTCACTCTGGACATTCCGGTCTCAGCTCTTAGGACGCCCACCGTCCTTGTGAACTGCCTGCCTCCCGCCCTTGTCTCTGGGGTGGCTGAGGATCCTGAGGGGAAAGGCGCTAGGCAGGGCGCCTGGGATTCCCCTCGCTGCCTTCTCATGTTGGGGGCAGCCCCACTTCTCCAGGGCCGGCTTCCTCCCCACTGGGCCACTGCAGCCTCCAAGTGTTGGATTTGGAGTCAACTGCATTATTCACATTTTCTGGGCCCTCAGGGGAGTGACTGGCTTAGTGAAACCTGCTTTTTCTGCCTGCCAGGGTTGCTAACTGCCAACACTACAGGGGGCAGGGATCTAACACTAAGGGGGCACTAGAGATCTCAGGGGCTGTGGTTGGGCGTCCTGAGGTCCAGAAAAGGAAAGGGTCTGCCTCAAGGTCACACAGTGAGCTGATGACAGAAGCAGGGACAGCCAGGCTTCTGGATCCCAGCACCCAGCCTTCATTCACAGTCCCTGCTGTCTAAAGCTCCCAGGTTCCCTGTAGAGCCTAGGAGCTCAGAGGCTACAGGGAGTGCAGGGGTGGGCTGCAGCCTGGACAGGAGTCCCAGGCCTATCATCAACGCTGTGACACACAGGGAGGAACCTGTTTCTCTCAGAACTGAACTGAATGTTCTTGCCAGTTGCCCATCCCATAAACCCCTCTGGGCCCACTACCCAGAGAGGATCCAGCCTGAGCCCTGACCCTGGGCCCCCAATCTGGCAGGGATGGCAGACATGCGGGGACAGTCCAGGAAGGGAAGGGCTGGGAGGAGGAGGAGCTGCAGGAACTCTGCCCTCGGGGAGGGAGTCGGTGCCTTGCCCTGAACCTCAGACCCACTTTCACAGACCCATACATTGGCCTTTTGCCTAAATTTGTGTTCCTTTTCAGGAACAAAACTGTGTTTTTGGTTCCTTTTTGGGAACCAAACTATGGACGGGCGTATTCCTCAGGAGAGTCTCCTCCTCGAGGCACAGAGTGCCCTCAGTGTGGAATCTGTCCAGCTCCCCAAAGCTGGCAGACGAACTGGGCTAGTAGCCTCTCCCAGACAGGGCGATGGTGGGAAAGAGCCAGGACAGATTCAAGGTTGTGTCCTGGGAGCCTGGTGCCCTCAGGCTGCTGGGGGCTGGTTCTACCTGCTCTTTCCTCCGCTGTGGGCCCTGGTCAGCAGCCATGCCCAGCTCCCCCTGCCCCTGCCTCTGCATAGCTGACAGGGTGGTCACTGCTTTCCCCAGCGTGATGTCATCACTGAGACTCAGAGCTGGTGGGCAGGGCTGTCATGTCCAGGGAACTGGGCAGGGCTGGCCATTCTGCATGTGCCCAATCTCCCTACCTTCGTCCCTCTTTGCTTTAGAAAAGACTGATTTGATGACTCCTCGCCTGTGGGAGTGTGCAGATAACCCAGGCCCAGTAATCAAAAACTCTACTCCCACAGCCATTCAGAGGGCCACGCATGAGTGTGTGTCCAGGCCAATCATTTTTCTCTGAGAGTTGATGTTTGGTCTCTGGAGGAGAGAGGGTCTCTCTTCATTTTGGATAATGAGTCAGCCAGCTAGATTTGGGGCACCCACAACCATTGTTTCTGTGGGAGAATGAAGGCAATTCAGGGGGCAGCAGACTCAAGAGAGACAATACACCTGCCCAATGTTCTCAGACTCCCTGGATCCAGCCATCCCTGAAGTTAGAGTTAACCACTTAGACATTAGTTCTCTGAGCCAATAAATATCCTTTCTTGCTTAAGAAGTTTCAAACTAGGTTTCTGTCTCTTGCAATTGAATAATAGGGGTGGGTGATGGGGCTCAGAGCCTGTCAGAGGTTTCTTTGAAGAACTATCCCCTCCCTATCCCCTATAATGGGGGTGGGTCATGAACCAGATAGCCACCAGCCATGAGGCAGAAGGAGGGGTGGCCCCAAGTCCCCAGGGCTCAGGCCGGTGAGGATGGGTAGTTGTAGGATGGCTCAGGCTGTGACAGCAGGACCTGAGGACCTGCAGACCCAGGAGTCCTGGGTGAGATACGGAGCAGGAACAGCTGTGCTGCAACCTGGGGGCAAAGGCATGCCCTGCCCCCTAGCCCGAGAATACCAGGCCTGACCCAGGTGATTGGTTCTGATTGAGAGAATTCACCTGGACTTGGGGCGGTTCAGTGTTAGCAGAGCAGAACAGAAGCCAGGACAGAAGATTCGTTCTCTCAGACAATGAAGCTTCCTGTCCTTCCACTGCTCCTACCAGCAACCTGGTCAGTCATCAGGTGGACACTGATAGTGACACCTGAGTGTGAGAGTGAGTGGCCTTGGAGTATGCATGTGGGACCCCTGAACGTGTGAGCCTTGAGTGTGAGGGGAACTAGGGTGTGTGCACCAAAGCTGTTTGAGCAAGTGTATACAAACTTGCAGGTGGTGTGAACGGAGTGATGCTCTGTACATGTGGGGGTCCACGGGTGTCTGTAGGAACTTGGTGTGAGAGACTTCAGTGTGTACGTGAGCCACTGGTGTTCCAAGGGGCTACTGTGGACAGCCACACTTGGGTCAACACTCCTCCGTCCTCTCTTGGGTGATTCCTGCTGCTCATGTGTGGCAAGTGCTGTTGGTGCCCTGTTCAGAGACCTTGGAACACGCTGTGCCCATGTACCGACCCAGTGGCAAATCATGCTGACCATGGCAGTGGCCTCAGCTGCCAGCCCTTGTCTGAAGATTTTCTCTGGTCAGAGGAGCCCATGGGGCTGCACAGGGGGCAGGGATTGACCATCTCCCAAGAGCAGCCTCAAGCAATAACCCTTGAGAGGCGGTGTATGAGTGATCCAGCTCCCTGCCCCTCAGGGGGTAACTTGGAGGTGTGCTCCATGCTGTCTCAGAATTGTCAGGGCAGGACAGAGCTCAGCTGTCCACAGTGGCAACCTGCTTGATGAACGCCCCCCGATAAGCTTCCTTCCCTCCTGTGTTTCACAGCCCACTTCCTACTGGCCCTCCCTACTGGGAGGGAACGTCAAGCCCAGCAGGCCCTGGGCTGGTGGGGTCCTGAGGGTGTTTGTCGCTGAACTGTGTCAGTGTGGGTGCGTCAGGTTGGGGGTCAGCCTGTGGGCTGGACACCGTCACTACGAAAGCTGCTACATTCATTCCCAGAGCACAGAAGTGGCATCTGAGCCATGCTCAGTGGTATTATTTAGAAAGACAGAAGAGTGTCGTTTTGCATAGAGAGAGAGGACTTAGGTATCAGTCTGTGCCCAAAGAGAGATGCTGTGGGGCAGGAGCGATGCCTAAAAATGGGATGCTTGAATGGGTTAAACCTCATGGAAAATCCCATGGGTGGGAGACAAGCTCAGGGCCATATGCAACTATGAGTGTCCTTAGCGGAGGGTTTGAAAGCGGGAGAAGGGAGTTTGCTCGTTTTTCAGGGGCCGGCGTGTTCACTTTGAACATTGTCAGCGGGCGGCCAGCAGGTGGCAGTGTGGGCGCAGGACTGCTAGGACAAGACCGGGGCTGCCCGTTGCTCCAGGATCGGCATACCACTTCCGCAGCACGCGGGGATCTAGGACTATGCCAGTGGGTTCCACCAGAGTTTGAGTGGGAAGCACGGGCGACAGAAGAAGGGAACCAGGCACCGTCAGCCAGGTGATCAATGACCAAAGCTGAGGTCTTTCAGAGAGCACAGAAAGGAAGAGAATTTCTGCAGGGTGGGGGGAGGTGGGGAATAAACAAACATTTTGGTCTAATTACAAATTCCTCCTCACTTTGGTAGTCAAAGCCATAAGGGTGCTGAAAGTCAACTGATGTCAAAGTGAAATGTATAGTCCCTGGTGTCCCTGGAGTCAAGTCCTAAAGTTTATGGCCTGTCTTGTAGACGTTTTCACTGGCCAAATCTCAGAGAAATAATGCCATGTTTCAGTGAGGTTAAGAAAAAAAGTAATGCCTACAGGTCACCCAGATATCCTTGTCAACAGGAAAATCACAAGGCTTTAATGGCTGTACTCTTGAGAGAACTAATATTTTCAGTTTTCTGCTGTTTACTGTTTCCTTACAAATTTCAGATGGCGTAACAGCCACCCACCCCACCCATGTACTTTCATAGTTACTCCTTGGAACATTTTTTATTGATATATTTATTTTGAACACAGAAAAGATACACTGTTGCTTATTCAGCGATTAATCCAGGAACAAGAAAAGCTGCTCAGCTCCATCCCCCCAAAACACTGATGAGTACTGGAGTTTTTTATCTTTTTTCCCCAGCACTCTGTAGGGTTGCGGAAGCAAGATGCGTTTCTTAAGAGCGTCATCCCTGGAGTGCGTTTAAAAGCTGTACAGTACAACAGACAGATATTTTTTGCCTAGAAAACAGTACACCACAAAAGTGGACAGAACTGCTTGTAAACAGGGTCCCTCCCCAGGTGGAGTCAGGGGCTCCAGGATGCTACAGAACCAATGGGTGGATTCCTTTCAGTTCTGCACCAGAAGAAAATTCTATTTCTACAGAAAATAAAATTCACGATTGCCATCCTTGCCACCCCTCTTCTTAAGAAAGGGATTACTGAATTGTCTTAGCCCTTCATTGGAGGAATTGAAATAAGGGAGAGAGGATGAATGGGGGTGCTGTTTTGGGAAGGGATGGGGAGTGAGGCAGGGTGGGCTTGAGAACTCCACTCCCTGCCGCTGGTGATGCTGGCGGGAACTCGCCTCAAAATGCTGGGCTGCCACTCTCCGGCAGGCTGGGTCTCCAGGAATCAGCTCTGTTACCTGCATGGTCTCTGTTGAAAATTGCTGGGATTCATGGGCCGAGCTCTGGGTCTCTCTACAGCCAGGCAACCCCGCAGATCTTCTGTGGCGCCCCTAGTGGTGAGGCTTCAATATGACCACTGATCCTCTCATAGCATGGTGGTATTTACCGGGCTCACATCCCCTTTATTTTGTTTCTGTCTAACACCCTGGAGGGCTGGGCCAGAACTCATTGGCTTACAATTCCCAGCTGGGACATTGTTCTGTCCACTGGGTTCTGTCCTCCAGCCCATTCAAGCTTAGGCCATAATGGTCAGCTGGACACATACTTTGTGAGAGGCCACATCTGCCTCACAGATGCTGCCCAGACAGCCCTTATCTTCCTGGAAGACCCTCAGTCTTGGGCAGTGGTTGGACTGACTTGAAGAACAGCTGTACCACACCACCTCCACTGCACACCCACTAAAGATCCTGTTTATCATCTGTGGCTTGGGGTGGGAGCTTCTGAGATAACTCCGCTAGTACCACCAGACTGAGGGCACTGGGTTTTCAGGGGGGGGAGGCGGTGGCAGGGGGGACTGTGAGGGCCTCCAGGTTGTACCTGAGCCCCCAGACCCGTGTCCCTCACCCTGTAAGTGGCAGGGTGGTGATGATGTAGCTCTTCTGCCCTGGAATTGAGAGAGAGGTGCAGCATGCAGCTGAACCTCACTTAGGCTTGTCCCCCCAGCCAGGAGGACAAGGTGCCCTGGGGTGGGGTCAGGGCAGGCAGCTGACCTGGAAAGGTAGAGAAGTTTCTGGAGGCAGAATTGGAGTTTGGGCACAGCCTGCCAGGTGAGGGCAGGGGCAGACAGGCCCAGGGAGAGGGAGGAGCAAGCCCTGTCTCTTCTCCTCTCTTCTCCCAGCCTTGTCTGCAGAGGCATAATCAACAGGCTGGGGAGGAGAAGGGAGGTTGGGAAAGCTTCATTTTTCATGAAACTTTTGCAGATGGGTTTGTGTGGATGTTGGGGGAGGCGCTGTGTTTGTGCACATGTCGGCACATGGGCATGTCTGGATGTGTGTGTGCACATGGGTGTGTCTGTACAAGTTGTAATTATATGTGTGCATGTGGAAGTGCATGTGAGCATGACTGGTGTGTACATATCAGTGTGTGTGTGTGTGTGTGTGCCCCCATGTGCCTAAACGATGTGGCTCAGCCTGAAGACAGGACCTGACCAGCTGAGTTACTCAAACAATCCTCTCTGGGCTGGAGGCTGGGGCCCAGATTGAGGCAGGTGAGCCCTGGGAGCTCCTTGGCCCTGGTTCTGGTCCTGGCAGTGGCAGCAGGCCTGATGGGGGGCTGGCCCCACACACAGCCTCATAAGGGGGCAGGGTGTCCATGGAGATGGTACGGAGGCCACTCTGGCCCTGGATCCTCTGTGCCTGCTGGTGTTGGCCAGGGCTGTGGCCACTTCCCAGGTCAAAGACACCGTCCCGCGCTGGGCAGGAGTCAGTCAGCGAGTAGGGTGGTGGTGCATCCGTAGGGATGTACAGCTGAGTGGCGCCGGGCCCCACACATTCCTCGTAACTACAAGAGAAGAGGCTCCCTTAGGGGTGGGTGCAGGGATCTCTCCCCAAGGGCCAGAGGCCTATCTGCAGTGACAGGCTGCCTTGGCATGGACCAGGCTAGGCCTCTGTCATGCTGGCTGCAGTGAAACCCCTCTCTTCCCTGAGGAGGGGTACCCCTGAACCACTGCGACCTGGATTCTGGTCCTGACTCAGCTCCAGTATTCCATGTGCACTTGAGAGAGCAAGTCACGGAGCTCTGGGTGTCTGCTCAGAACAGCAGCAGCTGCTGCTGATGGAGCACCTCCCAGGCTGGGCACTGAGTGTCGGTGGTACTGATGGGAGAACCTCAGGTTGCCAGGTAGTCCTTGGTCTCAAGTCACTCCAAAGTGGCCCTTCTGGTTTAGGAAGGAGTCCTCAGGCCTAGCTGCAGGGCAAAAATGCATCCACTGGCCAAAGAAAGGGCCGACTGGACTGGCCCTGGAGACATGGGCCTTCGGGGCCCCCTGGTAGGGAAGTGATGAGAGAGGCCTGACCACTTTTGTTAAGTACTAACTGGGGGGTGATCTGCTTGAGGGTAGCTGGCAAGAGAGGACCCAGAGGCCCCGCAGAGAAGAATTTTCTGATGGGACAGGGTCGTCTGGGACACAGTCACTCCTGTCTCCGGGGATGTGATTTGGGCTCCGGGCATGCATACTGAGGAGCTAGGGCTGGACCCTCCACCCCACCCCTTCACCCCAGTCTGAAGGAGCTGAGCTTGTCCCTTCCTTTTCAAGTGTCCCCTGGTGCTGCTGCTGAGTCATGCCTGCCTCACTGGGATCCGCTTAGCCGGGAGGGGTGTGGAGATGACTGTACCCACTGAGTGTATGTTTGCATTTATTCCAGTTGGGGGAGGTGTTGGTACTTCCCATGTGTACGGGATTTGTGCCCAGAGCCCGCACTCTCATGCCCTCCTCCCCTGACGCAGCCCCCTTACCCTGGTGGAGAATCTGGGTACAGCTCCCGGAGTACTGTGGTATCCACATCCCCATCGGAGCTGAGGTCCAAGGGGGGTGGCCAGTCCTCCGCAGGGCTGCAGGCATAGCGCATCCCACGGCTGGAGCGGCTGTACGTGTGCCCATCGGATGCTGCAGGGAGCAGACATTCAGCCTAGGCCTCAGCCAGCACCAGGGAGGGTCCTCATGTGTCTACCTGATGCCACAGATTCTTTTCTCTCCAACGCACCATCCTGTCCCTTACCAAACACACCGCCCGATCTCCTCAGCAACAGTTTCAGAGTGTGAGCACCAGAGCCATGGTGGGTATGGGGTCACAGAGAGGAAGTAAAGCTGGCCCTGACCTGGGGGGCCTCCCACAGCAGTGGGCAGCCTGTCTTCGGGATAGCCTGGTAATGGACAGTGTGTCATGAAGTTAGATAGACATAGTACTAGGGTTGTGGGAACAGAGATGGACCTGACCCAGCCTGGAGGTCAGGGAGGGCTTCCTAGAGGAGGGGGTCGTAGAGCTGAATCTGGGAATGCTTTGAGCTGTGGGGAAGGGCTGGGGCATGAAAAATAGGGAGAGTGTCAGGGAGTGCGGGTTGCAGAGGTCTCTGGTGTCAGATCTCCCTACTCCCTGATCCCAACCACATACTATTTCCTTTAGGAATCCCACAGTGAAAAGGGGCTTCAATGATGAATTCTGGTGACCCCATATACTGCATTCTTTTCTGAGTTTTTTACTGCATATTGGCGTATCGGAGGCTCTCAAAGGTCCTGCAGCTGAAAAATACACTTGGCTATGCTTGTGCAGCATAAGACTGTAGAATCTTATTTTCTTAGACCTAGTAATTGCTTAGGAAATGCTACTGATGGAGCACAGTCTTCTCATTCTACAGCTGAGGTTCAGAGAGGCTCGGTGACTTGCTGGAGGCCACAAAGCAAATCATTGGTAGGACCAGAGGGCAGGTGGATGTCCTAGCCCCGCACCCAGCAAGCTCTCCACCTCCCCTTTTCTGACAGGTCTAGTAGAGGCTGGGGGCAGTGGGAGATGCGAAGATAGGTAGGTGAGGCATGAAGTCTCCCCACCCCCAGTGGGCTCCCACATGGCTCTTCCCCTCAGGAAACAGGTTTGAACATCAGGGGCGGGGCTTGTCTGTCTAGGGTGGGGCTCAGAGCCTTGCTTTGAGGTCAGCGGCGTGGTTGCTGTCCCCATTCTACAGACTTAAGCAGCTGAGGCTCAGGGTTCAAACTTACCTGGTAGAGTGTGGAGTTGGAATTCATGTGCAGTCTGTATAACCCCAAAGACTGCTCTTCCTACTCCCCTAATCTCTTTCCCACTCTTGATTCAACTGAGTGGAAAGATCTGGATAAAAAATTCTATCTGCGGGTATAATCCCAGGCTTATCTATGGGACATTGAGAAAGCTCTCCGAAGAAAATATTCCAAACACGTTAACAGTGGGTCTGTGTGGATGACAGGATCATGACCCTTATATTCTTCTTCATGTTTTCTGTATTTTAAAGGTTTTCCGCAATGAACACATATTACTTTTCAACTAGAAATAAGGAACTGAATAACATATGCTATAAAAAGGAGCTGAGATGACACTTGCTTCCCTTTAGGGCACCAGCTGAAGAGCTAGCATTTCTGGAAGAATTTGGGGAAGAAACCCAGGGAGGACAGTACACAACAACTGGGTGAGGATGGAAGGTCAACGGGACCGCTGTGCTCATGTGCTGGGGTCCTGTCCTTGCCACCATTGCCAGGGGAGGGCCCCACCTGCCGGTAGGATGCTCAGGAAAGCGAAGGCTCTTCCCGGATCTGTGTGGGTTGGCTCCAGTGGGCAGACCTGACGGCTGGCAGGGCCAAACTCCACTGACATCTACCCCTCTCCTTAGGCTGCTTTTCTTGGACCTCCCAGAGGCTGAGCACTTTGGGGAAACCGAGGCTGCCCGGAGGCACTCACCTAGCTGAGGCTCCAAGCCAGAGATGACCCAGGTCAGTCCCAGACATCGAGCTGGGCTGCACTCTTGTGGAATACCTGCATTCCCAAGGGTCAGGCTGCTGATGGAAGGGTAGGGACAGGCCACGCGGTGTGGGCAGAGCTGCTGGCTTGTCTACCTGGGGGGTCTTGGTGTCTGGGGAGACTTGAGGGATCTGGGCCGGCTGAGCTTTCACCTCTTATTATTGCTGACCTTTCTCTTCATCTGAATTGTTGGACAGTGATGCAAGTCACAAACCTTTTGCATCTTTCTTCTGCTGCGGCCCCTGCCTCCCTGCCATGGTGATGTCTTTCTGTGTCTTGTCCTGAGTTCCAGCTTGCTACTCTTCTGGTTTCCCTAATAGCTTAGGCTTAACTAGAGAAGCGACATCTAGGTCTGAGGAGCCTGTAGGCCTTGAGTGTGCCTGCTGGACACTTACCTGCGGTACACGAGGCGGCTTCCACTGGTGTTTCCCTCACACCTTCAACTTCCCTTGGGCATGAGTGCCCAGCCTCTCTGAGCAGTGCAGTGCAGCAGCTAGATTGGGGGCACCCAGGTTGGGCTCCCTGAGCTCAAATTTGCGATCCACTTGGCTCGGTGACCCCAGGCAAGTTACTTAACCACCCTGCTTTGATCTGAGTATGTGTCCCCTCCAGTTCATATAATGAAATCCAATTCCTCAATGAGATCGTATTAGGAGGTGGAGCCTTGGGAAGTGATTCCATCACTGACCTTATAAAAGAGACCTCACAGAGCTAGCTCACCCCCTCCGCCACTTGAGGACACAGCAGGAAGGCTTGTCTTATGAAACAGAAAGTGGGCCCCCGCCCCAGACACTGAACCGACCAGTGCCTCGATCTTGGAATCTCTAGCCTCCAGACTGAGAAATAACAATTTTGTTGTTTATAAGACACCCAGCTTATATATTTTTGTTACAGCAGCCTGAACAGGCTAAGGCACACCCCAATCTCAGCTTGCTTATCTGTAAACTAGGAAAGTAATAAAAAGTAGCCACCTTCAGGACCATTGTGAGGATTAAATGAGATTGTGCTTAAAAAGTGCTGGGCATGCAGTGAGCACTCTTTACCTTTACCTGCTGGCAATCACTACCAGCTTCTGTTCACCAGCTGCAGGGATCCTTAATTCTAAAAGGTGGCACCTTCCTTAACTAGTTACTCTAGTTAACTAGTAACTTAACTAATGATTCTTAACTAGTTGCTCTGTGAAAAGGGAGAGGGAACACCACAAACCTGGTGGTTAATCAGGGTGTGTTGGGGGAGGGCTGCATATTTCAGGCCTCCTAAGGTCCAAGCTGGTCAGATCCAATTTAATCTGCTTTAAAATTTTTCCTTTCTTTCTCCCAAGCTCTGTTTGGCCTGTAGAAGGAAAGACCCTCAGGCCCTGCCATGGCTCTGGAGCCTCCGAGTCACTTAATCTGCAGTGTGCCTGGTGCCTTCTGGGGTTATGCTACTCCAGACCTGTTTTCTTTCCCAACTCTAAGCAGGGACCTGTCAGGCCTCAGTGCAGGCTTTTTCCTGCCATTGAAAACTGAGAATTGAATGAATTGAGTTCCTTCCTGCTGCTTTTAGATAACTGGCCCCTTCCAAGTATAAAGCAGAGTCAGGTGGCTGACTATTCAATAAAAAATACAGGCATTCTGGCCAGATGAACACTTTTGGGGCTGGTCAGCCCAAGAATTAGCTACCAACTCTGTGTACGGGTGATTCCCATAACTGGGAAACTCTCAAATCAGTTCTCTTTGCACCTTGTAGCTTATTTTGGGATAGATTCATTCATACATTATTCATCCTATCCATTCATCCATCCTCCTATGTATATACCCACTTGTCCTATCCAACCCTCCACTTGTCCATCTCCCTACCCTCCTGACATCCATCTTTCCACCCATCGGTCTGCCTCCCCATTCATCCATCCTTCCATCCAGCCATTTAGCCATCCATCCCCATCCCACCCACTCATTCATCTCTGCATCCACCAACTGGCCCATCCACTCAAACCCCCCACCTATCCATCTTCTCACTCCGCTATGCATCTGTCTTCGCATCCCACTCACCCATTCCTCTCTTCATCCATCCCTCCATGCAGGCACCAGCTGGACCAGCTTTCGGTACAGCCTGCCCTCCCTCTGACCTTCAGCCTCACCCTGGCAGACAGCTGGGCTTCTCATGCCACTGAGAACATTATGGTGAGCATCCCTGAGCTCCTCCTGACCACCCAGGACCTCCAGGATGCTTCCCCGCCCATTCCACCCCACCCATGGCAGAGCTCCACCTCACTGATGTCCCCTGGATGGTAGTCGCCACCACAGGGGTGTCCCAGGGGGCGGGGGTGGCCACAGCTCACCGTAGTCGTGCTCGTATTCTCGGCGGCGACGGCGGCGGCGGCGGCGGTGGCGGCGGTGATGGTGCCTCTGGAGCCGGGCCTGCCTGTCCCTGCGGATGCTGCCCACAATGATGGTGATGCAAGAGAGGATGATGACCACACCTATGACTGCACTCGCCACCAGCACGGGAGACACGAGAAGATGGCTGTGCTCCGAGCTCTCTGAGAATGTGGGGTAGAAGTAGCTGGTGCGGTTGTATCGAGCTACTGTAGACAGAGAGAAAGACACTGAGCTGGGGTGCAGACCCTGTCACACACCTTCCTCCTCCATCTCTGCTGCCCTGTGAGTTATTTACCCCCAAATAAATGGAGGATATCTGGGGTCAGGCTCATGGACTCTATCCTGTCTGCTCTGCCAGGGAGGAGGGGAGCAGTGCTGCAGTAGAGGGGGCTGCTAGTGGGGAGCTCACCTCCCCTGCTCTGAAGCTCTGGCCTGGGACTTCAACCTACAGATTATAAAAGGGAAGCTCAGAGATGGCAATGGACTTGCCCAAAGTCACACAGAAAAGTAGTGGTACAGCTGAGGCCTGAACCCAAGACTCAGTGCTAGTCAAGGACTTGATTCTACTAAGACAAGAGCTTGGAAGGTCAGCATGACTTTGCCAAGGTCTTGGGAAGGGAAGGGGAATGCGCAGGAGATCAGAGTATGAGGACCAACTCTGCTGGCCTCCAACACTGGCCTGCTTTGGGGGCAAAACCTACCCAGGGAACTGCAGGAAAATTGGGCAGGCCCAGGGCTGGGCAGCAACTGACCCAGACATGTCAGGGGGTTGGATCAGATCAGGGAAGGCTTCCCAGAGGAGGCGAAGCTGAGAGGCATTCTAGGCAGGGGAAGAACAAGGACAAAGGCATAGAGGAGTGGGGACTTCTAGAAAGGAGTGTGGTGTGGCAGAAGTATGGATAGGATGCAAGAGCCTCCTCTAGGCCTAACAGCTAGGCGCCTGAGAGCTCTATGGAAGAGGTTCCTGGGAACTGGGGTGACTTTGTCCTCCTATAGGATAAGACGATGGGGCCTTGGGAACTGGGGTCCTGGGGAGGGTTTAGAGTCAGCCAGGAACAGCCTGGGCATCTGCTCTTTCATTCAGGCTCAGTGCTAGGTGACCATCCCACAGTCACCCAGTTACTCTACGGCCGAGTCAAGCTAGAGTTCAGGTCCAAGCCTCAAAGTCCCGTGCTCATTCTCCAGTGTCCCCTGCCCAGGTATGAGCCTTTCCTGAGGTTGCTGGCCCGATTTCTGGGTAGCCACAGGGAGCCAGCTTCAGACACTTAATGAGCCGCAGGGAGGGGTCAAGCATTCCTCGGCTCTGTTCTGAAAGGGGTCCCTTTATGTCCTCACAGAGCCTTTACTCATGTCCCTGTTTTGGATTTGTTATGCATGTGTTGATCACTCTCTGTGTTGTCAAGCTCAGCACTGGGCCCGGGCACACCACAGGTGACCAGGGCATGTCTTGAGTGGCTCCAGACTTGGGGAAATATCAGGGGAGCTCTGAGGTTCTTCAGGGGAATGAGGCCCCTATCTTGGGTGGTAATCAAGCAGAATTTGAGTGAAGAATTAGAAGCCTCTAAAAGCCTCATGCACACTCAGCCATTGGCAGAGTCGGGTGGGTAAAGCCCAAACATGCCCTGCCAGCAGTTCTGGCCCATGCTGGGGGCTCTTGTAGCCTACTGATCTTCACCAGGAGGGGCTGGCATGTCACCCTCGCCTGAGAAACAGGCCTTTGCTTGCAGAAGCTCATTGTAAGCTGCTCCCCTGCAGGGTCATGCACCAGGGACAGGTTGCTCTCTGGGCTTTGGCTGAGCACACATGCTTCCTTACTCTGACAGGAGAAGACCGGGGTAAATGGATTTCTGGGATTCTTTGAGAGCCAAACACAGACTCCTGTTTTCAGAGCCTCAACTATGTATAGGTTCATGTTAAGAGCTCACTTCATCACTGTTCATACAATTCTCCCATTTTCATAGGTGAGGAGAGGGGCTCAAAGATAGTAAATGACTTAATCCACATTCAAGCAGCCAGTATATGACTAAGCCAGGTCGTCTCTGGGCCGTGGCCCCTGACCCAGTCATGAGGAGCTAGAAAAGGAGCTCTCTAAAGTGTAACAATAACAGCACAAAAAGGGGAAGGGGGAAAAGAGTTAGGAGTAACTGGAGTATCTTAATTCTCACTGGAATTAACTCCGTATAAATATGAAGTAGATTGTGACATGCTTAGATGTATATAGTAGATTCTAGAGCAATCACTAAGAACATAATTCAGACAGTGAAAAAAATCACTAAAGGAATTAAAATATTATAATAGAAAATACTAAAGCAAAAAGTAGAAACAGGAACAAAAATGACAAAAGACATGTAGAAGACAAAAAGTAAAATGGCAGATGTAAATCCAAATATATCAATAATAACATTAAATGCAAATTGACTAGATGAGCCAGTCAGAGGCAGAGATTGTCAGACTGGATGAAAAAGAAGATCCAACTATGTGCTCTCTTAAGAGCCTCACTTGGCACCCTAACACATGACTAGGTTGAAAGTGAAAGGATCAGATGCCATATGAAGAGCAACATTAAGAAAGCTGGAGTGGCTGTACTAATATCAGAAAAAATAATGTTGTTAGAGATAAGAGGGACATTATACAATGATAAAAGGGTCAATTCATATATGCATTATACAATGATAAAAGGGTCAAAACATATATGCACCTATGAACAGAGTCCTAAGACGTGTGAAGCAAAGGCTGACAAACTGAAGTGAGAAATAGACAATAGAGCAGTAACAGTCAGAGACTTCAATATTCCGTATTCAGTACAGTATAGAATTTGGTTTCATCTCTGCTTTTTGACTGGTCGTAACTGCTTGAGTTTTTGATGAAGTCCCCACTTCTCATTTTTATTTCCTTGGCCATTAGCTGCCCTAAGCTAAAGGTTTCCGTTTTTCTTCAAGAACCACAGGTGAAAGGTGGCAAAGTGAGGCTGTCCTCCATCTTTCTCCCAGGCAAAAGGGATCAGTTTGAGGTGTCCAGTCTGACCTCAACTTAGGAGAAATCTAGTCCTTGACTGGTGAGTCTATAGCTGGCTTGCTGCCATCTGCTAAGTCTATGCCAATGGCAGACATTACTAATTGACAATGGTTCTCTTTCCTGTTTAGCCTAGAAGGCAACTTCAGCTTCCTTTTCAACACAGCACTCCACACAGTGATTTTACCTGGTCATGCAATGGAGCTTTTGGCCGCCACTCACCTAGTGGGACTACAGTCCCCTGTGCTACCACTCCTGAACCCACAGCCAGGGCTTTGGCTTGGACTAGAGGTGAGCCAGTGGTCACTCCACCACGACTGTATTCTAATAAAGTGCAGGGTATCTGGCTGTCCAACCAGTGTCACCCTCTTTCTCTCTGCAATGTGGCTTCTTGCCTTTGAAGCCAAGCGCAGGACTTTGAAGTGTCGGGTACACAGGCCCTCTTTGGGGAGGGTAAGAATGTATGGGGTCCACACTGCTGTCTGGGCTCTGGACTGTCCTGTTCAGTGTGTCCTAGCTGCTGCAATAGCTTGGGACACATTAGTCGCCCCATGAGCCAAGGCAGATGTACTGCCAGAGATCTGACCATAGCAAGCTGAGGGGGCCCAGAGTGAAAACCCAGTGTTGGATGTGCGTGTGCCTGTGTGCCCTGCTCAGCATGCAGAACCTGCTGCCAAGGTGCCAGCCCCACTGGGTCTCCTTGAAGGTGCTTTTCCTTCCACCTGAGCAGCAGATGAGAGCCTCACCCCCGGGGCAGTGCCAGGCTCATTACCAGTCAGGCACAGAGATGGCATCACCCATGCCTGCAGATAGAGCCAGCTGGCGCAGGCACCCGCCTGCATGGCCAGTTGGGAAATTAATCTTCCAGTCACTGAGACTGGCAGAGGTAGGCCCTGCTTTAAATTATGAGGGAAACTCTTCCAATTTCCAAACTCTGGGCCCATCTTATCAGTAAGATAAATATGTCTGCAGAGAAATAACATCATGACAGCCCCCTTCCCACCCCTCGGCCTCCCTGTCCCCTGCACCAGTGCAGCAAGGACAGAGGATGGAGCAAACTTTCTCTCTATCCTGGACTTTCATTCCAAGCCTCTTCTGCAGAGGTGCCCATGGTTAAGAGGAACTTGTGCTTCAAAATACCAGCTCTTCCTTGAGGTGCTGACCCTCCTTCCACATAACAGCACGAACAGCTACCATCTCCTCAACACCTACTATATCTCCCACACCATGCCTGTTGCTTCTTACACACTATATTATCTCATTCAATTCTCATGCCGGCCTGTGATGGGATCCCTAGTTAACAGGTGGGGGAAACTGAGCCTCAGAGAGGATTAAGTAACTTGCCCAACAACCCACAACCCACACAGAGGGACCTGAGTCCGTAGACAGCCGAAGCCCCGTGCTCTTAGCAAAGATGCTATTCTGTGGCTACCAGGCACTGTGCTCTGGGGCTTATATTGTTTGGCTCTTGCTAGAGTAAAATGCTCCTAGCCCTAAAACGATGCTTTGCTTCCTCTCGGCTACTTTATACGTAGTCAAAGCAGGCCATGGCCTACGGCTTATTCAGGGTGAAGGCATACTGACAGCTGAGTACTGCTGATAAGACACCAAGAGTCCAGAGAAGACAGCTGTGTGTATCTGGAAGAGAGAGATCACGGCAAGCAGGTATATAGGGAGGGGGAGCAAACAACCCAGGCCTGGGGTGGGGACCCTCTATTCTGTGTATCTTCCATCTCTGCATCTGTCCTAGAGGTGGTGTTGGGACTGTAGGGAGGGGGCCTTGGGACAATTTCCCCAAAGAGGGGTAAGGACAATAATGTCACTCTCACTGACTGAGCATTTAGGATTCATCAGTCAGGCTCAACACTTTACATGCACTGTCATCTCTTGTAATCTCCACAGCAACCCAAGAGTCAGGTTGCTTTGTCCCCCCCACCTTTTACAAATGGGGAAACCGAGGCACAGAGCTAAAGTGGTGGAGCCAGAACTTGGGTCAGCTAGTTCTATGCAATTTCTGAGCCTGAACTCTTAACTGAGCGGGTTGCATATGGAATGAGAGCCCCTGGAGGGCAGGGCCTGGGTCCTCTCCTTCTCCTTGTTGGGCTCCCCAGTGCCTTGGGCAAGGTCAGCACAGAAAGGCAGCTAAGAGCCATTTGAATTTTGCGAAGGGAAGTTGGATTGGCTGCTCTGCATG